AAAAAAAGGCAGAATCACAATAAACGGATTTTTAGTTGTAGTGTTGCCCAACACAATGAAACGATTTAAAATGGAATTTTTGCTAGCAATTCAGACTGCAAGATGATTTCTCTTTGTTTAAGGTCTAGTACTGAAAGCTTTGCTACTGCCACACACGTCTCTAAAAAGATGATTTACCATCCCCAGACTGGGGGATTTATTCTCTGTGCCAGAACTCTTTATAAACTCCAACGGTTCAACTTTGACAAGAGGAGCTGATACAAAAGGCAGAATGGTGCTTTACAGAAGAGCAATGGAGTACGGGGTGTGTGCCTAAGGTCTGTCAGACTTATAAACTCCCTGAGGAACCTCCAACACTAAATATTTACTGATGCCATTCAAGCTTCTTATCTGCTGGTATGAAAGTAAAAGCAGACTCTCAGAACAGTCTCTATCTCTTTGAATTTCTTAAAATTATTTAAAAATTCTCACTTCATCTTCTTCCCTCATTATTTTTTCCTCTTTGAAGGCACTGCTCCATTTAAAATAAATCGCACTGTCTTGCTTTGTAGAAATATGAAGAAATCTGAGGGGGAAAAAAAATCTGAGAAACCTTGAGATAGTTAAAATGAGCCTGTTTAAGAGTGGAACACTGTGGACCTTTCACCACGCCCATTGTTCACACAGAAGATGAGATCATGACTTCCAACTGCTGTCCAAGAAATCAAGCTGCACAAATTAAATGAACCGTCACTGAGGTAACGTGGGGAAGTGTGGCGAGTCATGGCGGTCCACAGGCTTGGGACAACCTCTCCCTAGTTTTGAATCAGCCAAGACAAGGCAGGATGTACCCACGTGCTTTCCCTGCTTTGACATCAAAGCTGTAACAACCTGCTGCTATTTCCCCTCTGTACCCCATCCACTCTTGCATCCTGGCCATCTTGAAAAGTGTGCTGTCTTTTCAGTATTCATCTTATTTTGCTTGACTGAACTCAGCATAGTAGAAAAGGTTGTTTTATTTCAAAACACTATTTACCCACAGCTCCATAGAGCCTTGTCCCAGCAGAAGGGACAGAAAAGTAATGTGGAAAACTGCGCTGAATCTAACCCTAGAAATGGTTAGAATTAGGAAAAACAATGGTTCTGTACCCTGATAACAAGGAACTCCCTCAAATACATCATCCACCTACCTGTGAACCTCCTCAGTTCCCATTCTTCTGGCTGCACTGTTGTGTAGCCCTGTAGCTGAAAAGCTGTTTTCCAGTACTGTATTTGCCTTTTTGGGCCTGTGATGCTGGAATCATCTGTACCTTCAGGTAATAAAGTCCGCTGGGAATAGCGTCTATTCCTGGACACATCTAAAATGCTGGCAACCCTGAAGTTTGCTAATAGTGTTATAAGGACAAGACTTCACCTATTTTAAGTGTTTTGTATTAGCATATACAGTTTTGCAGGCATATAATCGATATAGAAGCAGCACAAGGCAGCTAAATCAAAGACATCAACCCTTATCTTGGTCAATCCTGTTTGAAAGATTGTAGCTTTAAATTGTTAACATAATAGAGGGAGTATGCTTAAATCTAAGGCTCTCTTTAAATTATGAAGTTCAGTACTCTGACATTTGGAAAGTAAAAATACTCAGCTGTAGTAGCAGTAGCAAATGACTTTAAATTACCAAAACAATTTTCAAGCCCAGAAAGTTCATTATGAAAAACATTAAAATCTCTTTGCACGTCTACCCAAAACTCCTTACTTAAAACACAGCCACTTTGTCCCAGGCACAGACGTCTCTCTGCTTTGCACAGATTCTTAGCTGCAGGCCACCCCCAGCCCCAAGGCGCCTTATACTGTTTATGAACCCACAAGCCCTCCTTTCTATGTAACCCCCTCTCTGCTAATTGCCCTTTAGGCTCTGGGTTCAGGCTACACTTGCAGAAGAGCTTCATCCCCCACTGGGTCCCGCTCAGAGGACGGGCCAGCTCAGCACATCCTTCCTTACGTTGTGCCCAGCAACTACTACTTCATCATCCTGCCCCAGCCCTCTGGGGATGCCACTATATCATACTGTAAATGGGTAGACAGTGAGCATACCATCCATATCCATAGGATAAACAGGAATTAAAACCAAAAAAAGTATCATTTGGATTAAATTAATCCCATAGTAATGAATCTACAACAGTTTGTACTGACTTGAGTCACGTATCTGGGCAAAGCAGGAATAAAATCCTACTGAAAGGGAATTGCCTTTGCGTGCACGCAGTATTTTACAACCACAGGAGCCATTACTCTCTGAGGAGAGAAAAAAAGCTGCAGAAAGGGAAGGAAATGCAGGCAGGTAGGTATGCAGGACTTGATTCCAGCCCCATTTACACTGAGTTAAGCAGAGTTATTCCACTGCAGTGGACACAAACATTTTCAGTTCTAAGTCTTAAGTATGGTGGAGAATAAAAATAATGAGAGTAATATCTGAAGTTCTTCTAGCCCCAGTCACACAGCAAATATCTTCTCCACAAATAATTGAGATTTAGACCTCCTAGCAATTCTCAATGGCCATATTGTAAGTCATACAAGAATTTTATGAGACCAAAGCTGTAATTACGTGCTCTGGCTGAGTGGCAGAACAGCTATACAATCAATATGTTTTTGCACACTCGCATTTTTGAGTGGATTGGTATTGCAGCACAGTCTAAAATAACAGCATAAATTTAACAGGGTGGCAGTCTTAAAAGTAGTGAAGTGTAATAACAGGTGTACTTATTTGTTCTGTGACGTGTAACTGATACCACTGTAATCCTGCTGAGATTAGGCTCTGTTTCAAAATAGAATACGCAATACCTGGCGCTGAAGCTAAGATAATCTTAATCAATTGAAAATCAAATGGAAAAGACAACAGGCAGCACTGCAGACATGTTGTGCAGAAGTAACACGTATATGTCACACATTTGCAAAACCTACTTCCTCTATTAGGCAGCCCTTTATTAGAGACAATATATTCAGACAAATTGAACAAATCCTAAAACATATAAATCCCCAACACTACAAATACATCTTTTCCCAAAGTTATGAAGTACTATAAAACCACATAGGTTTCTATTTTTCTTGCTTTTTGACATGATTGTTGTTGGATACTTAAAATTTATGAGTTCATAGATGAGTCAAAACTTGCAGTATACCAGAACTGGAGATGATACCTCTTCTAACTATATGTGCTTTACCACAAACATTAAAAACAATTACCTAGTAATTTCCAGAAATTCTGAAAATATTTTAGTTACCAAGTCATTACAGAAAAGTCTGAAACATTTCCTTTAATCATTCATTACATTGCTCCATAATTCCAGACACTTGAAAACTATAATTTTGCTATGTTTTCTTATTACATATGTGTCTATATGTACATACACACATATATATATGCACTATTATGAGTGTCAATAAAACGAGTGTCAAGAAAAGCAGGACCTTTACATTTCCACATTTTTCCCTATGTTTGCAATAGGAATGAAACTGTAGATACCACCTGTGCCATCTACAAAAATTGGACCAGCTTGACTTCAAATCATCTTGACAGACGCAACAACCACTTTAACTCTGCTTTTCCCATTGGCATTTTTCATTCTTACCAAAGTCAGTTTGTTTTAAGAATATATTGTTAGGCCACACACTCAGTCTTCATGCAACAAACCCCTCTACCTCTACACTGCTTTGAAATTATTAAATCTGAAAACTATGCTTGAACTGCTCAACTGCTCCTTCTCAGTTTCTACCTTGATGTGCACAGGAAAACAAGCTTGCAGCTGTGGTGTTGACTAGACCTAGTTATACACATAAATGTTAAATATTTCTTAGTTTTGTGCTCTTCCAGTTAAAAAAGTAGCCTAAACCATACAACACACAAGCAAGCCTTACAGGGCCTGATTCTATTTGTGGAATGCCAAATCATCAGTAATTCCTCTGAAGTCAACTAATGGAGACATGCTAATTGCCACATCTAGAGTGGCATCATCTCACAATGGTGACAGAGGGAGTTCAGGGTATTAAACACTCTGAAGGACTATGTGTTAAACAGAAACCGTCCCGAAGTCACAGTACCTCCTTGCAGTGCTCATTCTGTGAACTCAGAAAGCATTAAAAAACCCAAAGATCAACAAAATCAGCAGTTAACCAGTTCAGAATTTTCCTGAAATTTGTATTAGTCATGGAGGGTCCATTTCCTAAGAGCTGGGAATAAAAATCTATCTCAATAGCTAAAGTCACATAAGCCAAATTCTCCAGTGCAGCTACCACAGAGTACGTGTGCATTAAATTGGTCAGGAAATTTGTTAGGAGGACTAATGGGTTGGAAATACGGTGTGGTGGTGGAAATTCTGGGAGGGAGGGTAAGCAGCTAGAGAAGTCTGTAGGAAACCTTGGTTCAGAAATCTGAACCTTCAAAGGGAAGCCTAAAGTTTATGCACACCCTGCAAGAACTCATTAGCAGGAGTATCTCAGGGGGAGTTGCAACTATATGACAAGTAAAGTGGGCTTCTGCTTGGGGAAAGAGTTTTGAAGACATGTTTTTAGCATGGGGAAAAAAGATTCCTCATGTCACAGAAAGCAAAAAAATCTGTGACCACTAGCCTCCCACAAATATTTTTGCTATAACAAGAACTAGAAAAAGCCATGGTAGCTAGTCTTCTCATATTAATGAAGTGATTTCATTTTCTATAAATGATAAAAGCCAGATATTCTGAAGCATGAGATGCTTTGGATGAAGCGATGCTGCACTTTGACCTGGCAGGTGCCTGTTATAGTAATTTTTTCTAGGGTGGGTCCTGCAGCCTTGACTCACAGGATCAAGCCAATAGAAAGCAAAGGGCTACTCATTTGAACAGTGGCAGCAGCAGGCACCAGGTTTGGCAATTTTATTTTATCCCTTTCTACAACCTGGCCTTCTAAAATCAATACATAAATATTATTCCATTTCCATTATTTAGCTTAAAAAACGAGGGAAAAAAAAGAAACCAAATAGAAATAAAGGGACCATATAACTAGGGACACTGCTTCCATTTAGTTGGATGGACAACAGTAAAAATAAATAAGAATAGAAAGACAGGATAAATCAACTATGATACACATGTGGCACTACATCTTATTTTACTTGTTATCAAGATGACATGCAGTCTAGAACTTCATGGCAGACACACTGGCAAAAGCCATAAACCATGAGAATAACAAGGCTCGAAGGAACAAGGCTTACAAAGACAACCCCAAGGGTGACTTTCTTAGATACCAGTAAATAAATCCCTAAAGGCAAGGAACTAAAGTACAGCAACCCTAGCAACCACACTAGCACCCGAATTGAGGTCTGGAAGAGCAAAGATGTGCAGTTCCATACTGTCCAGTTGTGGGACACAGTGGCAACAGAGTCAAAACTCGTAGGCCTGTAAAATTCCACTACAGGGGTTGAGTTCAGAGTCTGAGGACTTTCTCTTTGTACTTCCATGATTGTTATAACCAGGCAGTTAGAAGAGGTGTGAGAAGGGCTAACCAGAGATGCCAACCTTTTGGGAGTCAGCAACAGTTCTGTTGGGTTGTCTGGTAGGCACTTCTTTCCCTTTCCCCCACAAGCTAAATTCAGAAGGATGTTGTTGTCATCAGGAAGACTACTAACCTCATCATCTGGCAGGCATGTTTCGAACCTGCAAAATGGGCATACTATGACTCCTTGTGGGGAATCACCGAAGTCTATAATCTTGCAAAGGCATTTGGCACATACTCTGTGACAACACTCCAGCACTTTTGGTTTTCTCTGTCGCAGGTTGTAGCGGTTGTAACAGATCTTGCACTCAAGCTCATCTGAGCCCTGGGTCTCCACAGACTCCTCTGGTACTTGACTGGTCATTTCTTCTGATGTTTTTTAGACTCGGGGAAAGAGGAGTCAAGGGACAAAGAGGTCACTTGAGTTTATTTTAAAACTTCTTCCCAATGAACATATCACACATCTTAAACAGAGGAGACGACGTTGTCAAAAAGCATCAGTAAGCCTCATCCATTTTCAGCTTCTGCTAGGGATTGTGCACTGCATGTCCTTTACTCTGAGCCAGGGACCCATCTGAAAAAGTTGATGTGGAATTTCTGTGGAAGAAAAGAAAAAACTGTAGCAGGTGAAATATGCGAGTTCCACCTTTCACAAGCTTAGCTTCCTTTGCTAAAAATACCTCTAAAGTAGTTATTTTCTGTGGTCTATGGGGCCTATATAGCAGTGATGCTGATAAGTAGTATCATGATAGTATCACGCTGCATGCATTTGGTCTAGACTTGTAACTTAGACTGGCTCCACCCATGAAGTTCTCAGCAGAAACTGCAATCTAATCACCAATCTGTGACTGCTTAAACCCTGGTTCCCTAGGGAAGTGAGACCTGGCCCCTGGAGCTTTTTGTCTTTCTCCGTAACTTTTGAACCTGCTGTCCAATTTCAAAGCAACCAGCAGAGGGGCAGCAGTACTGCAGATAATCAAGCTTCTAAAAAAGTAGTGAACACCAGCAGATGGGTAAAGAAGAGGGAGGGATATTTAAAATAACTACCATTTATCCAAGAGGGCAATGGTCAGCCAGCATGCATCCATCCTCTGCTCTGAGCAGGCAGGATGCTGCCTGCTGCTTAGCCAGAGAGGACAGCAACATGGGAGGATGCTGGTGATACTGTGGGGAGTTTTTGGGGGTGGAGTGGGTATTGTATTGTAAAGAGGTATGGGTGGACCTAGGTCAAATTTGGAAGAGATTGGGCTTTATTAATTTTGCTGCTTGTGGAACAGCTCATTTCTCTGTCTCTTCAGCTAGCTGCTGAACACAGCTACAGAAAATGAGGGTTCTTGCAACAAATGCCTCATTTAATATGTGGATGACTGGGTGAAGGCTAATGTGTCTCTCAAGGGCGTTTTCTAGATGCATTGGCTTTCAAGTGTTTCATGGCTGCGACAGCTGTTTCACACCTCAGCTAAGGAAAGGCCCGTGGCATCCTTCACCGCTGCACTCCTGCTCTCTGCAGCATTTTTGCCACCAGAACCATCAGACTCCCTTAAAAATATGTTTTGCCATATTTTGTAACCATGCATTTTCATAACTTCAGGAAACAGTCTATCTATTACAAACAAAACATTAACCAGGACTATAGAATCAGAATGGTGTGGGTTGGAAGAGACCTTAAAGACCATCTAATTCCAACCCCCCTGCCATGGGCAGGGACACCTTCCACTAGACCAGGCTGCTCAAAGCCTCATCCAGCCTGGCCTTGAACACTTCCAGGAATGGGGCATCCACAACTTCTCTGGGCAACCTGTTCCAGTGCCTCACCACCTTCTCTGTGAAGAATTTCTTCCTTATATCCAATTTAAATCTACCAGCTTTCAATTTAAAAGCCATTACCCATTAAACCCATTTTAAACTCATTACCCCTTGTACTGTCACTACAGGCCCTTGCAAAAAGTCCCCCTCCAGATTTCTTGTAGGCCCCTTGATGTACTGGAAGTCTGCTGTAAGGTCTCCCCAGAGCCTTCTCTTCCATGTACTCCATGGAGCAGTAACTACTGGCATTTACAAACAAGCTCTATATACCAGAAGATATAAACTTCTCTGAAAATCAGACATAAGCTTGCTCACAAAGATGGGTGTGGCAGTGTATTTTGCAGGGTTTCAAACTCACTCCTCACTGCTAGAGTAGCCAGGAACTTGCCATAGTCAAACGATGGGGGTCAGCGCTTGTGTCCAGCTGCCTCCCTCATTATCAATAAATGGCACGCACATGGAAAGCGAATAAAGTGGCCTATTTCGATAAATTGTTTCTTGACTATTAGTTTTCTTAATTGTTTGATTCCTTTCCCTTTTCCTTGGGAAGCTTTTATTCACTCCTAGCATTCAGATCTTTGTCCTTTTTTTGAAAACATCAGAAAGTTCTCTCCTTTAAGCAATGTGACTGTTGTCAATATACTGTACCTACCATCAGATACAGTAAAGTCTCTTTTATAAGCCTCTTGTTCCTCCTGTGCTTCAAGTATTTTCCATTCTCTGTCTTAACTTTCTGCACAACATAGCTTCTCCTAGTAACATAATTTCTAAAACTCACCTGGGTTTTAAAACAAAGATGTTACACTTCAAACAATGCGGTAAAGAAAGGATGGCAACATAATGAAGAAAAAACGTAGTTATCTTTGAATTTATAACAGACAGGTCCCCATTCACGTTCAATTTTTTTAACCTTTTTTCTTCCTCTTCCAACTTACTTCCTTAGTCCTTTAAGTTTACATCTCTGCTTTACTGTTGATTTAATTATTTGTAATGTGACTACATTTGTGGTGTGTTCTGTTAGGCAAAGGAAACACAAGAAGGCTGATCCATTATTTTCAGAGTATATAAGCTATTATACAATCTTATAAGAGACAAAAAGTACATCTTTTACAGATCTTATAACCTACTCTTTATCCTTCGTTACACTGTGTGCTTCCTTACTAGTTTCGACTACTCTTTTATTTTTATTTTATTTTATTTTATTGCAAATATCATCTTCTGGATTACTTTTAAGCATATATAAATGTCATGAGATGATAACTTTCTAAAGGATGAAGAAACCACAAAATGGGCCTAAAAAAGCTACAGGCAGGCAAAGCACTGCTGAAAAGTTAAGAAGAAAAAACCCAAAAAAACCCCAAGGAATGGTTTTGCACTTTTACATCTTGATTATCATTCATCTTCTCTACCGCACGTGAGTTAGGGTTGCTAACATGTTCATGCTTCACCGCTAAGGGTGGCAAATGTATTTCTGTAACATAAAACTAGATTTCTGATTAACCAAAAATCTTCCAGAAAATGTGTCTCTTTCTCATGGAAAATTGTGACCTTTCTCTGAAATTTCCCAAGTAGAAAATCTTTGTATTTTAGTGTTTATCATTCTAATGAATATTTCCAGTTTCTCACAAAAAGCAGACCACTTCCCAACCATTCTATTCAGACATGGATCATTTCTGCCTGAATGAGTTTTCAAACTGACTGTATTCTCCTGATTCTATCCTCTTTAAGTGACCAAATTTAGCATCATTACAAGAAGTAACAAGTCCCTGGGACTAGCAATGTCCCAATTGCTAAATTGGGACCATTAGCTTCATTTCCAGAACACAATGATCCTCTTATTGTAGTTTCTGTCATGAGCTATTCTACAAATTATTTTCAAATTTTTTTTTTTTTAATGTACTGTACAAGAAAGACCTACTTTCATCATCCTTCTCCCTTCACAGTCTCTTCAAAACACCCATCAGTAATAAAACACCACTTTTTTCCTTTGGCTAAGTTTAGAGGCTGAATTTCTCCTTATGTGTTCTAGTGTGATTACTGCTTACTACTATTCTTCATTTATACATCTTTTCCTTTGAAAATTAAAATTTAGCCACTAATTCCTATTAATGCTATTAATAAATTTTTTTTTACCTTCTCAGCTTTATGGTGGTCTTAGATGCTTCCTCTGTCTTTTTTGCTTTCCCAATTTCTTAGGGAATTTCTATTTTTCCTTTTCGATGCCCACTTTCCTGCTCATTTTTTTCTGCTGCTGAGGACTGACACCTTTTTGAGTTTAATTAATGCTGCCCTGATATCTGTATCACATATACTAAAAAGTTCTCCAATCAGAGACCTATTAATATGTAAAAAACCTGAGGATTTTAAAGACATTTGACTTCCAATTATTCCTTTTTTTTTGAGAAAATGAAACATTTATTGAGAAATATGGACAGCTGCTCCTTCAAGCAACTTCTGCTCTATGTCAAAGATTTTCTAGCTTGTCTTTTGCATGTCTCACAGGTGGGTATTTACTAGAGGCAAGTAGAATAAGGAATTAAAGTAGGGAATAGATTAATTTCTGTCACTCTGAATCCTCGTCCCCCACTAAAAAGGTGGCAATTCACATACTTCTGCTTGCTGTGTGTTGAAAGCAAGAGAAGCTGCACTACTGTGCAGAAAAAAGGGATTGTGTCTGTTGTTCACGTTTTGTCCTCCTCTTCTCTTTGCACCACTTTGTTATGATACCATGAGAAGTTATGTCCCTATTATATGCTCCAATTCTCCTTTAATGTTTGGGATTTTTTAAATATTAGGCTGCAATCTGCACATTCTTCCTGACCTTCAGATCCAGAGGGCAGTCAAGTAAAAACTCCTGAGTGCAAATCCTATGATGGGTCTAACCTCTTTCACTGCAAGCATAAAATTGCTATTGACTTGAGATCAAAGTGAGGTGCCATTTGTATTTGTAAAGCACTATGTTTATTTTTATTAATTCTGATTTTTTTCGTGACTTTAAACTATTCCTTATGTCCAGCTTTCCACCTCTTTTCGGATAGAGGGGTCTCACCTAATTGTTTGATAGCAACAGACACAAGTTACAACTAGAGAAATTTCAATTAGGTACGAGGGGGGAAAAAAAGCACAAGGTGTTCGAACACTGGAACAGATGTTGAGAGAGTAGAAATGAAATCTTCAACCTTACATAAATTGAAAACTTGACTGGATACAATCCTGGTCAAGCCACTCTACCTTAGAATTTGGCCCTGCTTTCAGCAAAGGGGACTGGACTCTTGCTGTAGGTTCTTTCCAACCCAAATTCTATGATTCTGTGTGTTAGTATCCTGAACTTGCTTTATGGAGCCTGTTTAAGAAGCTTTGACTGTTACTGAATGAGACATCAGGCTTATAGTTGCTTATGTAGCTAAACATCTCAGATTATAATTCTTCAATTTAATATATTAATTCCTTTTTACTAGAAAGCCTAGACACTTTCTGCTATTCTATCTTTCATAGAATCTATCTGATGGGATCAACACAATCCAATTGTAGAAATTTAATTCCTGTGGCTATTATGTA